TATATATATATATATATGAAATGTACAAAAATGTCAAAAATGACATTTTTAAAATCAAAGATTTATCACAGCTATTTTGTTTGAGCGATTTGATTAGGTACAATAAATACCAAAATTTGAAACTTGGATGTGTACCCCATTGTTTCCTTTTTGAGACTAATTATGTATTTCCAGCATTGATATAGATTCATATACATATACACTTAGGAAAATATAATTTTTTATAGTTCGAGATACCTATGCAAATTGTAAGTTCACCTTATCTAAAGTAAAAATGTCATTGTTGTTTTAACTTGTACTTGAATTCAAGCATAACTAGATATATTTTTATCGCATATTTATTTATGTATCACCGTCTATTTTTAATTTAAAGATCTTTTTCACTACTCAGAATAGGATTTGAGTAGTATAAAGCACCACGAAGAGTTTATTTTCGGACTAATAAACGGTTATGCTAATATTTGTTTTTTTACTAGATATGGAATGGACTTAACATTTTATATCTTAAATACTTTAGCCTGAATATATTATCATATTTCAGCTTAAGACACAGTTATAAATGTACAAAACTTGAATTGATAATGTTGTGGTGAGTATCTTCGGTGATTATTTAGCATTTGCATACATTTCAAAATGAAAATAGTTTACGAACTTTTATGTATATTATACTATCGGGTGTCCTCAAATTCATGCAAGATTTGAATTTAGCGCCATTTGTGCGGGAAAGTGTTGCCAGGCAGCTGACAGTTCAGGGTTATTAAAACGAAACGACAATGAGTTTTCATTGTCAATATTTTAAAAATAATGAAGGTTTCGCAGCTATAGTTCGCAATTTCCGTACAAAATATGGTCGGGATAGTGATTTAACTGAATCAATTAGTGATCTTAAACACTCCCTGCTTCAACAAATCCTTCAACAAAAAACATCGAAACAGTTTGTGTTCGTGAGAGTGTTGCTGAGAATCCGGGAACATCAATTCGGCACACGATGAAGAATTGGACATTTCGGAATGCTCTCATGAAAGATTTGCATCTTCATCCTTACAAAGTTTAATTGACTCAAGAACTGAAGCCTACTGTCTACACAAAGCGAAGAGAATTCATTGATGGATTATGGAGCAACAACAAGAGGATGCTGATTTTTCGAAAATTGATGGCTTCGTTAATCGACAAAATTGTAGCATTTGGAGTTCAGAACATCCACTAGTGATTGTTGAGAAGCAAATGCCTCTACAACGTGTTACAGTTTGGTGCGGATTTTGGACTGGGGAGCATTTTCCTTCGAAAACGCGGCTGGTCAGACAATAACAGCTAATGGTGCTCGCTATTGCGACAAGATAATCCAGTTTCTTATGCCTAAGTTGCAGATATGGATGTACCTAGACAATATGTGGTTTCAAAAAGACGGTGCCACATGCCATACAGCCGAGAAACAATTCAATTACTGCATGAGTTATTTCCTGGTCGTGTATTTTTCCGTTTTCATGATCAGAATTGGCCGTCCAGATCATGCGATTAAACACCGCTGGACTTTTTTTTGAGATTTTTGAAGTTTAAGGTTTATGCCAACAAGCCCAGGACTGCCATTTACAATTTTTAATTAAAAGCCTGTGTTTTCTATCAAAATCACTTCTTGGGTGAGTTTTGGGGCACCCTATATAATATTGTCTAAATATACAGGGTGTTAGAAGTTTGACTGCCTTAATTTTAACAGACGATAGAATACAGTAAAATAAACAAAAAAATCTTATACGAGTATGACATGGGTCCTAAACTCAACCATTTCCAAGAAAAAAATTATCAAAATCTCCACCTTGATGTTCAAAAGTTCGATTAATTAAGGAATATTGACATAACTGCCTGCATAGAATACCATAAAATACAATGTTTATCGCGTTTTTGAACTTCTTCAAAAACGCGATAAACGAGATTATTATTCTAAAAAATAATTAGCAAATTTAAAATTCGATAAAATTCATATCGAGCAATGTATAACACGAGGCGCGGCGTATAACACGAGGTACTAAGCTGTCCACCAATACACAATTCAGTTGGTATCTGGAATTCGACCGTATCGGAGTGTTTTTTGCGTACCACTATTTCCTTTTCTTGAGGGGTTTTCCAGCGAGTGCGCGAAAATTGGATTCGAAGGTGTCGTGCGTGCATCGAAAATGGTGGTGGACATTTTGAGCATATGTTGTAGTTGGCGTTTTGTACTTGTGCGTTTAAAAATTATTGGATTTATTTTTGGTAAGTACCTAAATTATTTATTTAATATGTATGATTATTTGGACGACGTAAATCTTTGGGTACTTTAATTACGTAATTTGTTTTGTTAAATTCCTGTTTTAAGAGATTCATAATTACTAAAATTCGAGGTAAAATTTAAGCACAACATTATCTTCGTACTACAAAATCGATACATTTTATTTTATTTATTTAAAAACTGGAAAACAATTGTCTTGAAATTTACTAGCTGTTTACATTCTCTCCGTAGTACAAGTCTGCCGCGTAGTGTGCATCAGCAGGTTAAGCGCTGTTGTCACGTTGTGATGAAACTCCCCAATATTAATACTCGCTGTACATATTTTGAAAACTGTTAATCTTACGCCATTGTAATATACAACTTATTTGTTCATTTATGATTACTCTATTTCATGCTGAAGTAATGGCAGTCAAACTTCTTACACCCTGTATAGTTTAAATTTAGAAAATATGGTAATTTATTGATTTTGAATTAAATATAAGTGCATCAACTGTATTTCGCCTATATCTTTAGAACGAATGCGTATAAAAACACTAATTTTTAAATCAAATTGCAACTTACCCGTGTCACGATAACCATGATGGAAAGTCATCAACGCCAGCAGATCTGAAACGAAAAAGTTGTTAAAAGTATATGTAGCTGACAAAGTTACCAACAACTGACGTTAAACAATACAGAATTATGAACTGATTAAGTAAAAAGAAAGTAAATCATTTGATCAAATTATTATAAAAACTAAACTGACTTCATATTTTGTCTATGTACATAGTCGGAAATGTTTTGTTTTTTATGAAAAAAAACTAAAAACTAAAACTATATGAATTTTATACAGTATGGTTTATTTACGTAGTCACAACATTTTTAGTATTTTGGATAACGTAGACTATTATTAACTGCGATTTTGCAACGCTTTTTTTCAAGACAGACCTACTGAAATTAAGTAGAAATAAAAATTAAAGGAAGATTAATCTCATCGAAATGGTCAAAAATATTTTTTTTTAATCGATTTAGGTCTTCTAAAATATGAAGATGGCGATATTCAAAGTTCAATACACTTTAAAACATAAATTTAACAGTTTTTAAATGCATTTCTGCAAAATTGTTATAAAGATATAATTATTTGTCTCAAAAAATAATTTCAGACAATTCATTTATTTAAGAGTAAGCAAAATCACGCAAATTCTATTGAGCTGTTGAGGCGTGCGACTAAATTTAAAAATATCACATATTCTACTCACATACAAGCGATAACAGAATTGTTTGCTGTGTGAACCAAACCAGTTCATGGTTCGGTTAATTGCTACTGTAAATTTTTATGGTATTAACTGCTAATACACCTATATAGTTCAACATTTTAAATATTCATTAGCTACACAAAAAATGTATTTAGACCAAAAATATTGAAATGGATGAGCCAAAGACTAATACAAACAAATCCTAAATTTATGTTTTTATGTTAGAATATTTTTTTGTTCCTAAAATACCTACATATATAGCATATTTAGAAAGTATACATCCAATATATCATTTTGCACTTTTACAACTGAACTAAATTTCTATATCGATTTATAATTTGGTGATTTGAACATACAGGCGTGCCAGTACAAATTTACAATTTTTAATTAAAAACCTGCGTTTTTTATCAAAATTTCTTCTTGTCAATTTTGGAACACCCTTTATAAGTATTACATAGTTTCACATTTTTGTTAAAAATGAAAAATTCTTTTTTACCATTTCCACAGTCTATGTAATAATAACTTCGTCATCGCTTTTTTTCTTAACTTTGGCGTTACTTGTAAGGTAATCGAAATGATTATTGCATTTATCAGCAAATTATTGTCACTTATTCCAATGCGTTCAATTAATTATTAAAAACCAGCCAATTTACCACCACGTACATTTCCTTTTGTATAGATATCGAGTCATATAGAAATGTATATAAGTCGCCTTGAATTGAGGATATAGATTACCCCTACTAAACAGAGCCCACGCTGATCTGTATAAATCAATAAAATATAATAAATGGCGACAAAAATGGGAATTCTCTTTTTACGCCTTGAACAATTTTTACAATTGAAATGAGTCAGGTAAGTAAAATGCAGCAAAATGTATTACTGCAATAATAAAAATAGAAAGTAATGGCCAATACACGAAATGATCTATAGTCAGTCGAAAGGGACATGGCTTTTTGTATATTTTATTTAGACAGACATATTATTATTTAAACACAGATCATATTTAATTTTTTGTTAGGAATTATTTAATAGAAAATCACACTTCCTAAATCAATTATCTACATTCTAATACAGACGTGATTTTGAAAGTTTCTAAAATTGGAGGAAACAGCAAGTTATTACTAATGCATAAAACACTAGGTATATTATTATTACTAGGTATATGTCAAAGAAAGCTTAGTAAAATTAAATGCAAATTAAAACTTAAAGGATGTGTAATGTATAGGAAACAGTTTTTAGAAACAACCAATTTTTTCTTGTGAACAAACAAAAAATTTCAATTTAAAAAATCAGTAAAAGTTGCAAAATGTATCCTTTAATTAATTTTTAGCAAAAGTTACAATTTCAATCATCTGGATCACAATTGAAGTTTCTTGTATCGAAAACATTTTTTTATCAAAAACAAGAACATTTTATAGAGAATACTTCGAAGTTTTCAAAACCCTGCTTAGATTTTCTGTTCGATTACCTATTATTTTCGAGTAATTAATCGTCAAAGCCAAAAAGATTATTTTTGCTTTGAATTACGACAACTCAGCGACAAATCATATAAAGCTTTTGAACAGCTCAGATTAAAGAGGACGAATCAAACTAACTCCAAGAGCTGACAGATGGGATTGCCAAAAAACATTTTTTTAGGCCTGTGGAAATTTTGAAATGGAAGTAAAGATTTTGAAAAAATTTTTCCGCTGGATTTCTTATGATTTCCTGTTAACGATAACTAAAATAGCTGACAAGTGCGATTGCCATAGAAAAATTTTATGATGCTCTTGGACCTTTTGATATGAAGCAAAAATTTAGATTTTTTTCCTCCAGATTTTTTTATGATTTTTTAAAGGTGGTCAACGACAAAAATTCCTTACTCTGAGATTCTGAAACTAGAAATTTCTTATTTTGTTGCTCTACGCCATTCAAGTTACAGCATTTTGAAATCCTTTTTATTTCCAATTAAAATTATAAATTGTTTGTTACATTATTTGGTGAACTTGGATGTTTGTTGGCTGCAAATGAAATGAAAACAAGAAGTAATGATAGAATAAACATTATCCAACTATGGAAGCAAACGAGAACAAAAAAATAAACAGTCAAATCTAATTAAAAGATATACGTCATTATAAGCTTTGATAACGAAAAAATATTACTTTAATAATTGAAGTATGCAATGTGCAATTTCTATTTGTCTGCTTTTTTCAGTGCGACATTTTTGGTTACGCAAAAATAAATTAATAAAACAAAAATGCAGGCAAAACAAACCATAATCAACGATGACAGCTAATTTTTATCCAAAATTGTAGAGTCATTCTGTTTTCCTAAGACTTATAGTTTTTCCGAAGTCAATTAAAGAACCTATTATTTCAAGGTATGTACCAGGCTCGGTCGGTAAACAGCAACTCGGCATTGAAATATTTAAGAAACTTATTCCCATATTTATTTAGCCATACCCATATATAGGTCTGGTCGAACTAAACGTCCAGGTGGTAGAAATGTATACGACCAGTTGAAGAATGCGAGCGCGGTCAAAGGTAAATGAGCACAGTTGTATTGGGCTTCTGTGCAATAAATCACAGCAGGCGACAAGTGGTTTATAAATTGCCCAGCAGTGCAGTGCAGTAGTGCGGAATTTGGTGTGAATCAGGCAATTTTAATTTATTATAGGCACCTTCTATCAATCATTCATATTACAATTGCGAAAGGGAGAAATAAGAGGGATATTTTGTTTACTAATATTATCACAACATGGCATTTTGGAGATCTTTTGAAACGGAACAAAACAAAATTTACCACCAATATAATAAAATTGTTTGAGGACATAAATAATTAAAATATGTTGTTGGCCAAATGAACATATAATTGAAATTTTCTACTCATTATATACAAATTATTATATTTTTTTATCTTTAGCAGAAAATTTTTTTAGAGACGCCTATGAAACTCATTAAATGTTATTACCAGACGTTTTTTTGCATATTCAACTGACTCGGAAGGACTATACCACGGCAGATAAATTTACAGCATCAACACCGTATTTACCAGCAACAGGTTTTCATCAAAAAATTATAATGCATGTCGCTGTCATCAATAACAAAGCGACAGGCTGGATTCGAACAATTATTTTGAATGGCACCACCAAGAATAATAAAAAAAAATTGTGATCAATATCCAAGGTTCATTATACGTGGAGTTGAATCGGTGGATACGACGGTATAGACCAGTGGCGTCGAGTGAAAATATCGAACTATGGTATTGATGTTTACGAGTATATAAAAAATGTAGCTGTAATAAAAATAAATAAAATGACAAATAAACGTCTACATTACATTACCAAGTTATGATATAAATATGGCAAATGGGCACAGGACCTAAATAAACAATAAAAAATCATATCGAAGCATCAACCAAACAAGGCCTGTGTGTAATTGGTGAAACCTACTTTGGTGCCGAATAATCTCCGTAAAAGAACCATCAAAATTAGGTCACTAGTACCATTTGAAGTAACAATGGACTATACAGGGTACTTAATACCTCCATATCTTTCATTTCACCTTTCTGATAAAAGAGAAATTGTTTCTAATTTGCTTACATTTGCAAGTACGTCGCGCTAATGTGTTATGAGTTCGCCATTTTAAAATATAATTTATGTTATTCCATTAATTACTTTTCAATAATGCACTTCATTACCGCTGAAGCATTTGTTACATTAGATATATGTAACACATTTCAACATCTTAAAAACCAATCCATTCTGCTTGATTTAGTGACCGCACAAGTGGTTTTTTCCTCGATCATATGCTTTCATAAATTAGTTAATATTACATATTTGTAAAAATTTCACAATCAGTACCTACGTTAATTAATTTAACAATATAGACATCTTACTTATAACCAGTTACTTAATGACAATGTTGTCATTGAAACAAACATCAAAGTAGATATATAATATCATGTTTTGCATTTTGTCAACTACTTGTTTTTTATTTATGTTGGAATAAAATACATATTGCTATAAAAGTAGGTTCTAGCATCTCCAAAGTTCCTTTTACTTAACTTTTAAACAAGTTCATGGAAAGGAGGTGCCACTGACTACTTTTTCTTCTAATTAAATTAATCTATTCAGTCTACAATTTATGGAGCTGCTTATGTTGATATATTTATTGTTATTATACTCACATGTTAATAAATTGAAAGCTAAAAATTGTTTAATATAAATAGTGAGCTCGACCTCATTATTTTCGACCGACTAAAGTATAAATTCGAACCCGTCCTACCGTGTTAACTATTTTCCCGGTATTAAGCTAATAATAAATAATAATAATTTATAATAAGGTAAAAATACGAAAACTAGTAATAAAATATGTATTTTTATAAAGAAAA